CCCCCCCCCAATGGACTCACGGGACCCGGTTCCGGTCCCCGCTTTGTCCCAATTGGCCGCACAGATGGCGGCCACAAACTTGTCGCGGTCGAGCGAGGTTAGCGCCTACCTTGGCTGTCGGGTCTCCCTGCTGCTGCGCCTTGAGAGCACCCCCCGAGAGGCGACGACGAGACGGAGCTCTATGTACCGGTGATCAGATCCGGTCTCCGCCTGAGTCGCCACCCTCCATCCCTGAACCTGTCGGGCGGCCGCGGGGAAGATACACGTCAGATCGACGATGGACTCCCCCTGCCACCCGACGATGGTGCTCTTCCGGCCTCTGTTTTGTAAGCTGAGGCCGGTAGACACAGTCCACTCCTGGAGGTCCGCGCCGCGGGGGCACGTCCCCGGGGAACCCCACACCGTGTTGTGGGCATTGTAGTCCCCGGAGACAATGACCGGCCTAGGGAGGCGCCTCATTATGAGCGCCTCCAGCCGGTCCAACAGTGCCCCGAATTCAGCGCGGGTTCGGGAGGGTGGGGCATAGCATCCGACTACATCTGTGAGCCTCCACTCGACCGCGACGTAGCCGCCCCCTCCCCCTCGATAAGCTTTATCGGGTGGGAGTCGCGGCCAATCCCCCCAAAGATCGCCACTGAGCACCTACTCCTCTGGTCCCAGGCGTCCCCCAGAATGGAGGACGATTGCTCCGGGACCGAGTAGGGCGACCCCAATCCCAGCGCCGCGCTCACGCAGCCGCTGGACAAACAGGTCCTGGGCCGCCCGAGCGCGCCGCAAGTTGGCTTGGAGAAGAAGTGTACCTATTGTGATGGTACACCCTCCCTCTCCTCCATGCCAACTCCCGCAACTATTGCGGGCCTCGTAATAGGGGAGCAGGACCTGCTGCCTCCGCTCCCCTCACTATCGGCCCCTCCTTTGCCACCACTGCCCCTCCCAACCCTTCGTCGAGGTCTACTTGACCTCTGGGGGAGTGGTGGCTCAAACTCCTCCCCCTTATTGAGGAGGGACCTGTCTCTTTTAGGGGCAGGGGGCGCACTGTTGTGGGCGCCTCCTCCTGCACCTGTTTAGTGGATCCTTCCTTTCCCTTAACGGGGGGAGGTGCGCTCTTTCTCTTTTTGGGGAGCTGAGGGGGGGCGCAGCCCGACCCCTTGCCACCTTTCTTTCTCCCTTTGCCCCTCAAAGGGAGGCAAAGGGAGGGCAAAGGGAGGTACCCTTGCAATGGCTACAAAGCCTTTTGGCGTCGCGACAGACAGGGCACTTAACCTGTCCGCCGCATTCCGTCGCCCTTGTGGCCATCCCGACCGCAGCAGTAACAGAATCCGCTGCGGTCTACCACCGAAGTAGACGTTGCCCTCACGTGGCCCCGCTGCATGCACCTAACATTGCAGCGGGCACCCCGCGAGGGCCTCCACACGAACGGTGGCCCACCCCACACGGAGGAGACCCGAAGTTCGACCCTCTTTGCCGGTCGCGCGATGCGCACTTCTTTCTCCCCGGCGAAGAGGGTCCTCATCTTCCCAGCCAGCACGTCGGCCTTGGCGTGGCCTTGTGGACCGGAGACCTTCAACACCTGGGCGGCGATTGCCGCCATTTTGGTGCGGAGGTCCCCGATCCCGAGGTCCGCCTAACTTATTTCCCTCCTCGCTCGGCGCATCACTTCGGCGTACGTGCCCTCTGGACACGTCACTGATACAGTAGCCGAGCAAGGAGGTTTAGGGAGGGACGGAGGGGGCTTCGTGCCCCCCCCGTTTGCTGTCCGCTCCTTTCTTTCCTGAGCCCCGGTCTCGCGCACGCTGTCGCCGTTACTCGGCCTCCGAGGGCGCCCGAGATGTTACAGGGGGAGGGGCACTTTCTACCCCCCCCTCTCTTTTTTTCTCCCCATCACCATGGCCCATGTTTCCTTGACCGGGCCATCGGCGAAGCGACCGCCCACAGAAGGCGCCACCAAGATCACGCGGCGGTTCCTCCTTGTATAGGCTCGTGGATTCAGGGGGGGCATTGCTCACCCTTCCTCCTCACCCCCGCCCTCTGTGCTCCTCCTCCTCTTCTTCTTTTTCTTCTTCTTTTTCAAAGAAGTAGAAGACGCCGTCCCCCCTCCCTGCTAGGCTCCGGCACTTTAGCCGTGGAATGGGGGTCGTGGCCAGCCGCACGTCGGCCCCTCCCCCCCCGCCCGCACCGGCGGTTGTTCCACTTCTAATAGTAACTCAAGGGCAGTGCCCTCCTCCTCCTCGATTTCAAGGCGCGTCCCGCCATAACCCACAAGGCAGGGGACCACTGCTGTTGCTGCGGCCGTTGCCGCTGCCGTCGCCTCCCCCCCTCCTGGCTACCTTCTTTGCCGCTCCTGTTGCTGCGGAGGGGCGGCAGTTCGCCCTCCCTACTTGGGCCGGGGCTGCTGTTGGCGCAATACACGCCCCGGCCCCTGTAGCTGCTGTTGGCTGCCCTTTATCTGTCCCCACTCATCAAGGAGGGAGACGGTCTTCCCCTGAGAGGAGGCCTCATGGCCGGAGAGACTTTGCCATCCCTTCGGTTCCTGTCGACCTCCTCCCTGAAGTCTCCCCCTTTATCTTCCTCGTTGCTCCCATGGTGCAGAGGGACGGATCGGGGGTTATACGCCCCACCGTCCAACTCCACCTCCATAGGAGCGTCATCGACCCCTGGGGGAAGAGAGCTAGGGAGGGAAATTACCCCGCCCCTTCTCTTACTTCTGTGGGCAACCTCCTCCTCTGAGGAGGAGCCCGATCTAACCGACCCCGTCGATCTCTTGCGGCCGATGGGCGCTCGACAGGAGGCGCAGCCGCCCTCCTCCCTCAGGAAGAGCGACGCCGCCATACCTCCGGCCTCCTCCAATTTCGTGATTCTGGCCCTGAGGAGGCGTTTCTGCGAGCTGAGCTCGTCAAACTCCCGCTTCAACAGGGCCTCACTCTCTCTCGCCGCGGAGTCGGTCGCAGACTCCGGCTGTCCGGCAACCCTTTGAGCTCTCACGGCGAGCGTGGTGCCACAGGCCAAGAGCTCCTCAGCCGCTATCCACAGCTCGCCCAGGAGGGAGCCCTTGAGGTTGCCGGACTTCTGGGCCACCTTCATGACGGTGCCCACCGATTGGTACAACCTAGTGGACACCTCCACCGTCTGCAGAGACCTATGGTCGCGGACCAATCTTTCCGCGTTTCTTTGGGCCCTGTCCACTCTAGGGCCATAAGGCCTCTTGGCCTCGTCGGCGACGTATTCGGCCACCTTGGCCAGATTCCTCTCTTTAATGGCCTCCTTTTTCATGGCCATTTAGTCGGCCGTGAATTTCCCCTCGTGAGAGGGGTCTTTGCACGGCCGACCTTGTTTCCTCACTCCCGATGTCTCGGGGGTGGGATTGGAGGCAAGCGGGAAGACCCGCCAGCGGTGGTATCCGGGGAGGCCGGTATCTCCGCCGGGTGTATATCAGTTGGACACGGGGAAATTGGACACAGTCCAATCACAAGTCGCTGTTCCAAGGGACCCTACAAATGTCTCTAATCACACGGTGCTGTGATTGGCTGTGTCCAAATGCACCGTGTCCAAGTGCACCGCTCCCATCTCCGCCTCCTCCTCCACAGCCATGACCTCCGGCGGCCCGTCCTCAGCCGCCGCCCATTCTAACGAGGACGCTTGGCTGTCTGCCGAGTCGTCTCTCCCCCTCTTGCACTGTCCCGGTGACGGGACCCTCGACAGACTCTTCCGACCACTCGAACTACCTCGCGAGGCCGAACGGGTCCTCTCCGGACTGGCAGACGTCTGAGCCTGATCTTCAGCTCGAGCTGGACCGCCAGACCTGGTGAGCGACCTTGTGCGGCGCGCCGGTCCGCCCATATTACAGAGCAGACCAGAGGAAGACCCAGAAAATCGGTCCTCGAATCTCTTCCCCTCCTCGGCGTGGACCATGGTGAAAGTCCCAGCAGGGCTGATGGACGGCCCTGCCACGTGCGGTGGTTGCACGGTCGCCGGCGATGCTGCTGCGTCCTACTCCTTCCCCCCCCTCCCGTCGTCCCTGGTTTTTTTAGAATATTCACTCATTTTGGAGTTGCCCCTCTCTCTTCACCCGTAGGCTTACGAGAGGAGCTTTGAAAAGTGGAGGAAATATATCCCCCCAGGTTGGCCCCCACACCTGGGTTCGGGCTATGTACCCGGGGTGCGCCTGTTGCCCCGGGGTGGACCGCTAAAGATCGACTAACCCGCCGGCCATCCATCTCCTCGCCGCGGCCTAGAAACTTGAGATTGAGGGGGGTTTTTTTATAGAGGTCCTCGCAGCCCAGGCGATTAAGCCAGGAGTTACTGTATGGACAGATCCGGCATTAGTCGAATCTGCGTTGTAGGGTCCTGGCAAGTACCACGCAGACTCCTGATACTCCCCGTGTGCAGCTGCCCACACGGGGGGGGGGGGCACATGGCCAGGAGTCGCAGGGTTGCCAGGGTGCGGCACCTCACCACGTAAGTGGGGAGGGCCAATGTACCGGACTCCACCTCACGTCCCGTCGGCCCGAAGTTAACTTCCGGGTAGCTCCGGCGGGCGGCCATCCCAGGGTGCGCGACCCAGGTCTCGGAATATGTCCGAGCGGCCCACACACTCCTCTATTCCCCGGGTTGTCAAGAACGTAGTTCCTGACGTGCAATCCCGGGTGTGGGTTCCTCTCCCCATCCTACTCCCGTCGAAGCCCGAGTAGGAACGGATCGAGGGTGTCCCATACTTTCGGCTGCCGAGAACCGACGTGCAATGCCTACTCGTGTGGAACCTTCTCCTCCCCCGCGATGGAGAACTACCCATCGCGGAGCGGAGGTCCCCCCAACCCCGAATCCCCCCAAGACTGGTGGTGGAGCAAGCTCCACCTAACGGCCCCAGTCAGCCGGGCGATTGAAGTCAGGGCCGCCAACCCCTACCGGCAATTGGGCCCATCGGCCCTGTGGAAGTTGCCGGGCTCCCCTGCAGTGGAGGGTCTTTCGACCCTCTCTAGCAACCGCGGGGCTGCAGCCCACCGGGACCGGTTTTCTGTGGAGGTTTTCCTACCCCATTGCCGCCGTTCGCCAGCGATCCTCAGGTAGGGGCCTCCCTTTCGGCCGAAGCCGAAAGGTACTGCCGCCGAGCCTTCATCGGATCGCCGGTACCCCTCCACCACGATAAGGTGGCGGCATGGAGGGGGCGTAATATACACGTGCAACATACCAGTTATTCGAAGCGTTCGTGGCACAGCGACAGCGCGCTAGATTCGTAGCGTCGACGTTGCGGGTCCAAGTCTCGATAATTTTTTTTATTTTTTTTGTAGAAATGAATTTTTTTACAATACAATGTAAATAGTATACGAAATAAATACAATTAATACGTTTTATTTTGTGTATTATAAGATCTATTACATTTTGGCTTGGGAAATCTATAAAATTCTTTATAAAATAATTGAAATAGTAGAAATAAGAAACGTTATAAATGATTTGTAATAGGAATAACAACGGTAGATCAGTGCTATACACAACAGAAATAAAGATTAAAACCTGTTTTGTGAAGCAGTGTAGAATAACGTATAACATATACTCTTATAACGATTGAACCCTTGATTGAACGATTGAATCCTTGAAACAGGTAGATTAAAGAGAGGGTCTGTATTGTGTAGACTCTAACAATAAAGAATCAGAAAGGAAAGGGAAATTCCGTTACTAGTGAAAGACAAGATTTCATCCATTTTGCTGCTAGCAACGACAGTGAGCGGTGGAAAAAAGTGTGCATTATTATATAATTAAAAAGTGGAAGGTGTACCTGGTTCTTCATTAGAAGTATGTGATGTAAATTCACTTCACAGTGATGAGTCAAAATTGCGGCTGAAAGATGCACTTGTGTATTTGGAACAATTATTTCTACAAAATAATCTTGTACTCGCGAAAATCATCTGGAAATATTTCTGACGAGGCAATACAAATGGGTGAAGAATTATACGAATTGACCATTGAAATATTGGGCTCAAGACTTTTTTAGAAACTGAAGAATTAATAACGATAGAACATAATAATGAGGATGAGAAGAATCATTTTGAAAATGTGACAGATGACAATGATTTCGAACAAGATTATTTTTCACAAGAACAGAAATCAATGAAATACATTCCTCTGGACTATAAAATCAAAGTCGTCAACATGGCAACGGAATATCCAAAGTGTACTTTAAAAAACTTACAAAAAAAGGATGTGCACGTTTGAAAAGCATAAAACATTTATATAAATGGAAAGAAGATATCAAACGCGGAGGAACAATAATATATATATATATATATATATATATATATATATATATATATATATATATATATATATATATATATATATATAGTGACATTAATTCGTGGACGTATGATCGCTTTGTGGAAGCCAGAAGTAATTACCAGCAAATAATAACTAGAAATTTGCAACAATGGGCATTGAGCGCTGCAAGTCAGTTTGAAGATTTTTGTTTTAAGGCATCTGATTCGCAAAATTTAAAAAACAACACAACATTAGACAACAAAAAATTACAAAATGTGTCCGCTAAAGAAATTGCAACATTAGACGAAATATTGACTGCAGCAGATATCTTCCGAAAACAGA